TGTTATTTGACAAATTTATGTATGAAAATTAAATCAAGTAAAATGATAAAAGAAAAGAGACACAAGGATTTTTCTTCACAGTTCCTCACTTTTGCACTCACGTGTGGGTACGTCTACGCCTAATTCTAATGGAATTAAGATAGTTATTACTATGCAAAAAGTTGATACAAGAGAAGTGTTCCAAGAGAAACTCCACAAACCATAACTTTTGCTGTTGATTAAACCCATTCTCTTCCTTTGATATTGAGAAATACCAAGACATAATAGATCCCAATCGACTTGTCGATATTGCTACTCATTTGCGTTCTTTATCTCTAAAGCTTTCATGCACGATCAATTGTACCTATTGCAACACAAGACTTCAATTTGATTCATCGTTCTGTGCTAATTCCCTTGCACTCTTTATCTCTAAAGGGTCCTTTGCATTATTTATCTCCAAAGGCTTTCACTAGGCCACAATTGTCTCTTGAACGTCTTGCACGAAAACCCCAAAATCAACCAATGATCTTGGAGGACAAACCTATGGTTTTTCCAGATAAAGACCCCTGCAAATATCAATCCAATATTCTTGGCTACACAAGAACCTAATAGGACGTTATCGAACCTCGTCTAGATGGCACCCCAATAAAAGATTATTATGATGATTTGTAAGTGTGTATGCATAGGTTGGAGGGTGAAGGTGAAGAGCAATTACAGGAAATTATTATGGTATCATCCATTTTGAATGATGCATGAAAGATGTATTTATAGTTATGGTAGTTTTGTGGCACAAGAGGAAATTCGGAATTAAAAGAAAAAAAAATTGACCCATGAAACAGTATAAGTTAATCTGTAACTTGCATGTGTCGGCACATAATTTTAATTTTAACAGCATGGGCCGGCCTGAAATGATTTATGAGTCGACCTGACCAAAACTGAAGAAAACAACTTATTTAGGACAATATATGAGTCTCCCTGAAAGGTTGTATGAGTCGGCCTAACCAAGACAAAGGAAAACTGCTTATTTAGGACAATACATGAGCCGACCTATGAAGTTCTATGAGCCGACCTGTACAGGCATCTGCAGTGCAGAAAATAATTTTTGATGATTGAGAGAGTTTTGACTATGTTTCAAATGATTCCTAAGACCTCTAAATGCATAGGGTGCCACACAAACTCAGAGATACAACCCAATATACAGAAATGATATATTTTTATACTTTTGACATCATGCAAAACACATCTAGAGGCAAGTTGCACTCATATTGGCCATGTTAGTCATCTATTCTAGAGAGCATTCGTCTAGAACAAATTCGTCTTCACCATCATAGGAAGAAAAATCAAGTTTTTGTCAAAAGGAGGCTATATGGCCATCAGTGGTGTAGACGGGCCTAGCTTTTCTTACATTCTTGGGCTCGTGGTTGGAGGTAGCCATGATCTTCATTTTTCTTAGGAAAACAGAAGGAAAAGAGGAGTCATTATCACTTCTACCAATACTATCACTTTATGAATTAAGAGAACTATCATAGCTTCCAAACATGCCTAACTCCAATAATATACATTCAACAGTCTCGTCGAGACACCTAGCTTTCTCCTATAACAATAGTTCCAAAGAGTTATACGCTTGTCACAAGTTAAGAGTTTGACAAGGTTTCTATACTCATTCAAATCCCTAATAATCGCCCTAAAGAAAAAGGGGGGAAAAAGAGTGTCGAGCCTATACCTATGTAAGAGTATGAACTTTAGCTCGTGGAGGTGCATATGGTATCGAAGGTGGAAGGAACATTCTACATACTCTAGCAAGAAAGTGTGTGGGAAAATGGAAAAGCTAGTTGTCGTCTCCTTATATAAGAGAGGGAAACTAGGGTAAACAAAGGTTCTTTTGATTTTCTATCAAATATGAAAGGTTTTGCACGTTTCAACATCTTACAATGAAATAAGGCTACTTAGGCGTCCTAAGGTTAAGTCATCATTGATGACATTAAATGCCTCACAAGCTTTTCCCTTTAACAAAAGCTTTAGGATTTTTCAGCTGACATGTGACATACAATCAGAAACCTCTAAAAATATCAAAGGGACTCAATTAACCTTTCACCTGAGAGACTCAACTAGCCTTTGTCTGAAGGACTTAACTAGCCTCTCACATGAGGGACTTAACTAGTCTCTCGCTTAAGGTGCTCAATGCAGGTCTCATTTGGGATCTCACTAGTGCTCCATATTAAGAGCTCAACTTAAGATTATATCGCTCACGACTCCTCTAAGACTCCTAGACAATAAGAATGAACTAAATCACTGTGTCATTTTCAAATCCTCATACTTAAAGGACTGTGAATTAATATATTCATAAAAGTCTTCTAAGACATCACCTTTTTTATTTCAATTGAATTTTTCTATTATGCATGTAAGATAAGTTATAGAAAATAAATATGGAATTGGAATCTTACAAATAAAAGGTTTTGGTTGAATTATTTCCATTTTGTCAATGTTATTTGCAATATTTATTGTTTTTCATTGCTATTCATTTTCTTATTGTAGCTAATACATGTGATATTGATCAAGAATTCATATCGCTCAAGATAAAACTTCTAGCACACAGGTTTGTCCTAAAGACCTCTTTGTGCAAATAATAGTTTTTACACGAGTTTTATGTAACTAAACATGATATTGATGTTGTTGTTGATATTGATATCGGTGAGTTTAGATTAATAGTGAATATAATTGACTCTAATAGAATTCAATTTGATATAATTGATTTTAATAGAATTAAATTTAGTAGAATTGATTTATGTTTGAATACATTTATGTAAAAGTGATTTGAACAATAAATTTCAGTGTAAAAATCTATTAGAATCAAATATGGAGGCAGAAGTTACAAATTTTAGCTTCAAGTGGAATCAATTCTACATCTCTAGAATTGATTATGGATTTTGTAAAAGTGGATTTTTGTTCCACTTCTACGAGACCCAAAATCAATTCTAGATATGTAGTATTGATTTTGAGGTGTTTGATTTTTTAAAAGTAGATTAATTTTACCTCCAAAATTAATTCTATTTGAAATTAAAATTTATATTTTCTCCCTCCGTAATTGATTATGAGAAATTTTTGCACTAAAATTTATTGTTCAAGTCACTTAATCACTTTTACATAAATATATTCAAACATAAATCAATTATATTAAATTCAATTATATCAAACTTAATTCTATTAAAATCAATTTTTTTTCTCCATCAATTTAAACACGCTCTTAATAAACATGGTTTGAATCCAATTTTTAAAACCTAACACGAATGCACCTATTGTACCAAATGTTTCTAGGTAACAAGTAGAATTTGTTTTTTATTTTATTTTTTTATTTTCAATTTGTTTAGTTAAACCTTGAAATTAATTATGACATATTCTTTGAAAATAATGCTTTTTTTTATGTGGGTTGTTTTGGTTAACCTTGAAATTTTGATTAATGATTACAATCGGTTGGTTCTAGAATGTTAAAAACTATACATGGTTTAAGAATTTACAGGAGAACTCAGCTTCTTTTTACTTTACATTTTATCTGCCAATCTATAAGAGAATCTACTCCTAAAATAATTATGCTTAAAAATTTTAGTTGAAAATAGTTGCATATAAGCATGAGCGATTAAAGTCTTATATTATTTATAAATGATGGAATGATGAATTTATAAGAGAAAATTCATTTATCTAACATCTTATCATTTTGAATTGAGATGTGGTTAGACATGACAACGAAGTGGGTTGATGACGATTTTTACCTCCATCAAACTCAAATCTAAATCTTAAAATAATCTTCGTTCCCGTCCAAACCCAAACGAAGATGAAAAATTAAAATTAAAATTCATCTCAAATAGGTTTGGATGTCTCTATCCTGCCACTGTCCATTTAATAAAATTAACTTTTTAAATAAAAATATTTATTTTTTCAAAATCAAATCACGTTATAAATAATAAAATAAAACAATCTAAAAATTTTTCATACATATATTTCAAATATTTTAAATAATGAATACAAATTAAATTATCAAAACATTAGTCACATATTTAATATTTTAAAATTTTAAAAATAAATAATAATATACATAATGAAATAAACGAAACGGATTCGGATATGATCTACTGTCCCTATTATCCGATTTGTTCCCATATTTTGTAATTGGAGAAATCCAAATTCGAATCCAAACCCAATTAAAATAGGTTTTTTTCATCAACTTTAAAGCAAATGGGTGCGAGTATGAATTTTATTGTCATGTCTATATGTGATGTTTTTCTCTTATAATCTTGATGTATTAATCTCATTGATGCCCCCCGACTATTTTGAACTTTCCAACATCTCAACAGAAACCAATATTAATAGAAAATCTATAACAAACATGTTTCTTGTGGATATGAAATCAAAATCTACTAAAAAAAACACTAGAAAAATAGAGTATTTCCTATAGCTTTTAACTAGTTTACTCCATTAACGGAAAGACCAATAACCAAAACAGAAACTTGAGGGAGGCGTGTGGTATGATTTGTGTAATTTGAAAGCAAGAACCATTGATTTCAAATAATTGGTTCAGCCTAATCATTAACCGAACAAGAAGAGATGTATAAGTATATCTATGAGCTAAGATAGAGACGTAATTTGTTGATTATTGATAACATTATTATATGCTAGCTCTTTCTAGTAAAATCTATACAATTCATTGTTTCACCTCAACAATCCTTCCACTTTTACCACTTCAAAAAACATTCCAAACATTTTCCTTTGACCAGAAGAAAAAAACTTTCCCTCCAAGTATAGAATATTAAAAAAAATGTAACAAATTATATTATACTCCTATATAAGCGTTGAAAAAGAAATGTCTCAAATTGAAAACGTGTGGAGTGTGAACAATTGTTTAGAAACCTTGTAATTAGAGACTAACATGAAGGGTAATATAGTCATAAAATAGAGTATATATACTCCTAATCATCAACATTGTTAAGACAACTAATCACAACGTTGTTCTTCCAAAGCCGTCAAACATGGAACATTTCATGAAACTCTTTGATTCTTTCTGGTTTGAGGTTAACATTTTGAACATAAACACAACTTCATCAATAACAAAAACAATCTCTAAAGAAAATCTTAAAGATTGTCGGAAAAATGAAACATCATCGGCAGCAGAAGAAGAACCAAAACTCGCTCGGATCCGAACTGTTCATAACAGATCCATGAGTGACCAATCCATAACAAGTTTAACAAGTTTCAACCATGATTCTCTTTCACCAGATTCTGTTCTCGTTCCTTTGAAGCTTCAAACAATTTTCTCAGGAAAAGAAGTAACAGATTCAGAAGACAAAAACCTAGTACCAACAGAAACTCAAACACAAACGTTGTTGTTGCCGAAAAAGAACAACATGAACAAGGTTGTTAAGAAGAAAAGGGAAAGTAAGAGTTTATCAGACCTTGAATTTGAGGAGTTAAAAGGGTTCATGGATCTGGGTTTTGTTTTCTCAGAAGAAGATAAAGATTCAAACTTGGTTTCAATTATTCCTGGGTTACAAAGATTTGGGAAGAAAGATGAAGAACAAGAAGAATAAGATGTTTGTGATGAGTCTATGATTCAAAGACCTTATCTTTCTGAAGCTTGGGAGGTTCATGAGAGGAAAAAAGAGAAGCCTTTGATGAAATGGAAAGTTCCTGCTATGAAGAATGAAATTGATATGAAAAATAGTCTCAGATTGTGGGCACACACTGTTGCTTCTACTGTTAGATGAGAATTGAGGTGATGCTGTTCATAGTTTATACTTTTTTTTTTCTTAAATATTCTTTTTGCTAAATGATATCTTTGGAATTGTTTGGTTTATAGTTTTTTAGGTTAATGCAACATTTTTCTGTGGCTATTTGTTGTCAATTTTTTTTCTGGAATTTGGGTTTCCAGTGTAATTTGTAATTTTTGACAGAATAGAATGAAATTTAATTCAGTATTTGAGATCTATTAGTTCAATCTGCAAGTTTTATATAACTTATGTTGTGGTAGATTGAAGATGGCATTTAATAGCTTGAGAAACCCCAAAAGAAATGGTTTTGTTGCATTTTTTTCTACCACTCTGCTATTTTAAAATGGAAAGTTTACCATTTTCTACTAAATTACTAGTATCAAGTAATAAATATAAAATGTAAGAATTAATTTAAAAGTTGTACAGATAATATGATTAAATATTATAATTAAAAAAACTATATTGAATATTAATCATGAATCTAAGTAATATCAGTAGTCCTACAATTAGTGATTATTTCGCTTTTAATTTTTAAAAATGAATAAAGTTAAAGAGTCAAATTAGTCGAACTGAAAACAGAAATGGTTATCAGTCTCGCCTGATTGTTAGATTGGATATGTCATTGAATCGGTGAGACTTAGTTAAATTGATAAAAATTGAAGAACCGATAATTTTGAAAATTGAAATTAAATACATTTTTTTTGAAAAAACCCTATTTTCATTTTTTTAAAATAAAAATAAAATTAAAAATTATTCAAAAATTTTACAATTGAAAGTGGTTCAAAATTTATTTAATTTTTTTTATAATATTTTGTTGTAAGTGATAAATATATTTAAAATTTAAATTTAAAAAATTAACAATATAATATTATAATATTTTGAAATTTGGAAATCTTATAGGTGTTATAATTTCTTTAAAAAAACTTGGTCATCCAATTCAAATAATTTAATAAATATATAATTTTATCTTGAAGACTAATTTATTTAACTAAATTATTTAATTTAATTTAGTTATACAATTCAATCAATAATTTAATGATTCGACCGATAAATAGATGAGTAGTCTGGTGTTTTTAATCATTGATAGTAGTAAATATTAATGTGATTAATGTGGCTATAATTTAAGACAAAAAAGTTAATGTAGTTATAGTTGTGACGTAGCTATTGGGCAAGGCATACACGTGGAAAATGATGAATGAACAATAGTCCCATCTGCAAGTGCAACTACCAGTCGCTTTAGCATTGTATACTCCGTTCTTTTTTAGCGTTTTCACGTGTCTTAACATTTCTTTTATTTGCTGCCAACCGTGCTTCTTTTATTATTAAGATTTCACACTAGTATAACATATCAATAGCCAAAATATGCTTAATTTCTAACATGTCCTACCTATCTTTTAAGTATTTATTAGCCTTATCTTTTGGATCAATAATAAATATAAGACGGTAAATCGAATAAATAAATACACAAAAACATCGTTAAAAATCTCTTAATATGAAAGTAAAAATCACAAGTCGTCCAGATTAAAGAAATAGCTCTACTATAATCAATTGAGGGTATAAGAGAGTCTTAAAGTGATTCACAAAATAGTGATAACAACCACAAATCACAAAACAAACTAGCTTACAAATAAGAATCTAAAAAGCTGAAAAAATTACCCAAATTTGCAGCTTCAGTGTGAAGCAATTATTTCTTAGCTCATATTTCGTTTTAAAGATCCCAACATTCAAAAATTAGATATAGGTGTTGTAAACCTTCCCTTCAAATTTGAGCTCGACCCGACAACTAACGTATCGGAGATCGTCGATTTAGTGAGACTGATGTAGAAAAAAAGGGAATGAGTTTCTCTCGTCTTTTCTCTCTTTTGAATCATTATTTTCTCTCTATTTCTCTTAATTCTAAATTGACACTCCCCACTTAAATAAGTGATATAAATAGAATATTCATATTTGAGTCTTTCTCTGCATAGGAAGGGAGCTCAAGCCCAACAAATCTCCCTCTCACAATTATGTAGAGGAAATCGCCAAACCGACGATATCACAACAAGCTTCAAATTTTTCTCTTGGTAATATTTTAGTCATCACATCAGAACCATTATCATATGTATGAACTTTAGCTAAATCCAGCAACTTAGCTTCCAAAACATCACATATCCAATGATATCTCACATTAATGTGTTTGGACCTATTATAAAAAGTCAAATTCTTACCAAGATGAATAACATTTTAACTATCAGCAAAGAACACATATCTGTCTTGAACAAAACCAATCTCTTGCAAAAAATTCTTCAACTATAGTAACTCTTTGCATGCTTCGGTGATGGCAATGAACTCAACCTCTGTAGTAGACAATGCTACACACTTTTGCAATCTAGAATGCCAAGTCACAACTCCCCCTAAAAATTTAACCATGTAGCTCGAAGTAGACTTTCTAGAATCAACGTCTCTAGCAATATCAGAGTCAAAGTATCCCAGTAGAGTATACTTATCTCCTCCAAAGCAAAGCCTCATACAAGTAGTCACCCGAAGATACCTTAAAATCCATTTTATAGCATTCCAATGCTCTCTATTTGGATTTGACAAAAATCAACTGATTGTACTAACAACATGTGCTATATCTGGTTTTGTACATACCATTGCATACATCAAACTATTCACAACAGAGGTATAAGGAACACATTTCATATCAAACGCTTCATCTTCACTTGAAGGACTTTGATTAGAACTCAACTTGAAATGAGTAGTAAGAGGAGTGCTTACCGCCTTAGAACTTTTCATTTAGAATCTTCGCAACACTCTTTTGATATAATATTCTTGTGACACCCAAAGTTTCTTCTGCTTTCTGTCACACATGATTCTACTGTCAAGAATCTATTTAGTTGCTCTCATGTCTTTCATGGAAAATGACTCTCTCAACTGTTCATTTAACCTGTTAATGTTAGAAATATTTTCCCTACAATAAGCATATCATCAGCGTAACAGGACAATAAAGTCATCGTTAGAAAATTTTCTAACAAAGACGCAACGATCTAAAGTAGTCTTCTGGTATCTTTGATCATATATAACTGACTCAAATGTCTTGTATCATTGCCTTGGAGCTTGCTTCAACGCAGATAGACTCTTTCTCAATCTACAAACATGATCTTATTTGCCTTTAACTTGGAAACTATTGAGTTGTTTCATGTAGACCTCTTCCTCCAAATCACCATGAAGCAAAGTCATTTTCACATCCATTTGTTTAACCTCTAAATCATGAGTAGCACCTAAACTCAACACGGTTCTAATTGATGACATATTTACAACAGGTGAGAAAATCTCATTAAAATCAATACCTTTTCTTTGACAGAAACATTTCACCACTAATTTGGCTTTATATCTTGGAGACTTAAAGTTACTTTCATGTTTAACTCTATTAATCCACATGTTTTCCAAAGCCCTTTTTCCTTTAGGCAACTTCACTAAATCATAAGTGTGATTATCAAGCAATGATTTTATCTCGTCATACATTGCATCCAACCACTTTTGATTTTCATCACTTTCCATGGTCTTTTGAAAACACTCAGGTTCACCCTCGCCAGTCAATGTCACACTCATCAGAATTATACCTTGTAGAATGTTGTCTCTGCCTGATAGACCTCCTAAATTGAACTTGGGATGATTTTGGAGTTTCACCAAGATTCTTATCTTGTGATCTTATCGACTTTGAGTCCCTTCGACGAAGCAGTTAAACGATTTGCTAGATACTTGAAATTTTATTAAGTCTCAGACATACCTTCTGGTCGTCATTGATGATTATTCGACCATAATTGATATTGTCCTCCGACAAGACAACTGCCAATTAGTCTAAAAACCTATGATCAAGTTTGGACTATTTCGACCTAAAACTGACAATTTCTCAAGATTTTTTTTAATTTTCAACCTTAAAACTCGTGCCGAAAATCTGAAATAACACTATCATTTCTCAAAGACTCATTCATATTATAACCTAATAAATTAAATTACATAACCTTCAATTCCAATCCAAGAACATGTATTATTTGTATCATTTCACATATGCCTAAACCTGACACTTTTATTCTAAACATTGGTGCAACTTCCCATATGTGTTACTCTAAAAGAAAAAAAGTTCAATGTACGAAGAGAATTAACCCCTCAACTATAATTGTTTAATGGTTCTCTAGTAACCAATTATTTTGCAGACACCATTTACTTTATAACTCTTTTTACCTTCATGATGTGTTATGTTTGCCTAACTTTTCATTCAATTTAATATATGTATTTAAATTTACCTATACACTCAAATTCCAACTGATTTTTAATAACAATGATTGTATAATACATGACATTTGTTCCCAAAACGATGATCGGTGCAGTTGAACTGAAAATTGGATTTTAAATTGATAAGTGGATCTTCATACACATTCTTCTATTATTATACATAGATATTTTTTAATTTATTTTATTATTTTTATTATTTTAGTGTGTTTTTATATTTAAATTTATTTTTGACTTTATTTTATTTGTGTATCTTATTTTCAGCTTAAACGGTTATTTGATACTTTCTCATTGTGTAGACCATACCTTGAGTTTTGGGACACTATTTTGTATGTTCTGATATGCGTTGAAAAGTTAAGAGAATGAGATACAAGTTTGTGTTGAAGTCAAAAGTTTATTCAGAGTGCAGAAGTCTCGAATAATTCGTTGAAGTTCCAGACTAGTTAAAATAATTAGAATTGGACTGTTAATTTACTTTATGTTTTCGGATCGGATTGCATTATGTCCCGATTTACCTTGTATTATAAAAATCAAAATCGCGCTTACAGTACATAGGTTATTCACTATTCACAAAATTATTATGTGTATTGTACGATTCATGGAGAACTAATCCCAAGACAAAATCTGTTGATTACATGTTCCATCATACTTTGAGGTTATAATAATTTCAATCCAAATTCGATTCCTTCAATGTTGTTATGTGATCATTGTTTGCTTAATTCGAT